GTTTGAACAATTCCATTATCAATACTTTTGTCCCCTCAGGCGATGGTTTGCCTGCAAAGTCCGCTCCGTGCTGAGCCTGCTCATTGACACCTGAAGGCATGACTCTTCCTAATAACTAGCCAGGTGGATTCAGAAGATACCTGCTACCAGTTCCCAGCAAATGGGACCCATCGTGGCACCATCGGCCCATAAACTAAGTCCTCCTTTCATGAATCAAAGTACACTGCGCCCTAGGATGTTTGTTCCTGAAAGAAGAAAGGGATAGATTTATGCCAGATTAAAAACGCATTTCTTTAGCGCTCCACTTTCCTGAAGTACTCAACCGTTCAGTTTTTAATTCTTGAAGTTTGCAGAATAATTTAAGATTTTAATTTTCATAGATGTATTACTTTGAAGGTATCAAATAAGAGGAATTTATTTTACTACTACTGATTATTGCATTAGTGTCAGCCAATAGCGACACTAGTTCAAGACTAGAGATATTGCATTATGCAGGAGCTTTAGTAATGGTGCTACTGAGTTGTAATTTAAATACTAGTGTATTGTTTCATTATTAAAACTGCCACTGTGCACAGCACTACCACCTTCAAATTATTTTAAAGAGATCCTCCTTGTACTAACTAGAGCGTCTTAACTGGCAAATGGTTTATTCATTAGAAAGTGATCTGGTACAATACCATTATCAACTTAGAAACGTTTTCAAAAACAACAGAGTGGGCAAGAAACAGGGAAGCCAGGAGTGGCAGTGTCTGTTCCTTTAAGTAGCATAGAAAGATGTGAATACCTATCCTAGTCTACAACATAGGCCTTTTCCGAATATGTTAAGCCTTGAACCTTTAGTGCACCGCAGTGGCGTTTACCATAGAGGTGTTAAATCCCTAAAGACAGTGGGAGTTGAGTATATGGGGGTAGTAGATAAATGTACTCAGTTATGTTCTATAAAGTCTGGGTGTGTAGTTTGTAATCAGACCGGATTGATTTGGAATACATTTTGCCTCAGAAAGTTGTACTTGTTTTGTATAAAAAACTGTTCAACCTATATTTTAAACAAAATAGCATTTTGTTATTGATACTAATCAAGTCTTTTTTTAACTTTATGGATTAGATGAACATAGTGTGATATACAAAATGATTGGAGTAAGCCAATTACTTTGAGAATAAATGTTTTGTAGAATGGAATTCTAATGGCAGATTAACCCATTACTTGTTTTGGAAAAAAGAAAGGCAGATTTTTTGAAAAATTTCAAAGGTAAAGAGCAGAATTACAGAAGTGGAGGCAACAGTGAAAAAAACCAAGACAAATATGAGATCTATCCTTAAGGGAAAAAAGTGTAATTAACTAATTTCTATTGTGACATGAACACTTGAATCTTTTATTACCTGGCAAAAATAGCAGCCCATTTGTAAGGGGAGCAATAATCACTGCTGTAAAGTTTCTTGTGAAGCTGGGCATATTTAACAAAACAGACTAGCAAGAGTTTCATTTCATCTCAGGGAGAGATTTTAAGCAAGCCGAGGCCATAGACCCAATTTTAAAAGCTCCGATTTACATTTTCTGCACCTTTAACCATCTCTGCACACAAGTTCAAGCACTGCTGGTGCACGCACACACACACCCACCCTTTGAAGATGAGTTATGATTTTGTCCTGAACTGGTCAATTGTGCTCTTTTGCCAAATGTTCAGTCATCAATATAGAGAATAATCTGAAAGTCAGTTAGATTCAGACTATTTGTCACTGCAATAAATAAGGTCCATTTTACTAGTCTGTCAGATCTTCAAAAAAAATTTTTTTATTATATATTATATATGCAGTTTCATGTCACTTTTACTTTAAAAATTAACCACGGCCATTTGATTATCAGAAGAGCTGAAAAAGATTTTGCATTCAGTTTAATATTAAGTTGTGAATTCCAACCAGGGGAGGAAGAAAGGCTAGATTTTTACATGGATATATACTGTTTTATGCAACATAGCAAAATTAACTTTTAGTGTAGTGTTCCTACCTCAGTCTGTAGTAATTGGTGTTTCTATGCAGTGAGTGATAGTCTTAAACTAAACATTTTTCATCCTAGGTTAAAGATGCAGTATTTCACTGTTTTAATTGCTAATACTACTTGTTTGTCATAACAATACATTATCATTCAGTGACAGGTGCAGCTCCAATATGTTGTACTTTAAACATTTTCATTTTCAAAAACCACAAGGTATGAAATATTAACCTTAAAAAACTTTTGCATCAATCTGCTTTTAGAATAGTAATAAATACCACACCTTGTTTAACCTTTTACTGTTTTCACCTGGCATTTTATCCTAAAACCATTACAATTAGTATTTTTTTAATCTTACATTTTTCCCCCCTCTATGCCATACGTTTCATGTTTTGCTAGCTGTTAGTTTTATCTGTCCTTTGTATAAAACGTCGTTTCCATAGTTCTTATATCAGAGGAAGCAAAACTCTTAATAAAGAATAGTGTACTGCATCTTTAAAGCAGTAGAGGGTAAAAATACCAGAAAATGTGAATTTCTTAGTTTTCATAGAAGTTAACCTTTCATGTGCCAAATACTGTAAGTTACCTTTTTTCCCTCCAAAATAATGTACCTTTTTCTACATATTCAATATGTAGTCAGCATAAAATCATTGGTGCCATGAAAAGTATTTTTAAATTTAAATAAATATTTAAGTATCATGAAAACAAGAGTTGGCATTTTTTACTTTTAAATAAATTGCTCATTTGAGTGGCGATAGTTAATATTTTACAGCTTCAACAAGTTTTACTTGATCAAGAACTGAAGAAATTGGCCCTTAAACACAATGGGTCCAAATTCTGCACCCTTAACTTACGCTAACTTCCCATTGGAAAAAAAAAAAAAAACAGTGCAGAATTTGGCCCTTTAAGCAGAGAAATTCCAAAATTACAAACACCGATAAGCCTAAGCGTGATCTCACTGTATCATTATATGCATCCGCATGGCTTTTAACAAGTTTGCCTTCATCCTTGTTGACTCACTTTGTTTTCTAAAAATCCATCCTTTGAAACATTTAACTGAACCAAAGAACTGATTCAGGCTACATTATAAACATGTATTGCTGCCATGATGAAGCTGACCTCATACAGAAAGATGAATCTAACAAATCAGAAATACAGGGACACCTATCACCTTCTGATCCCTCTTCCTGTTCTGCAGGGCATGGTGCCAGGCATGGCTAACTGATCACAATTCAACTCATTATACACTGCTTACATACAGAGTGTGAATACCAAAGCACTTGCATTTTGAAGCCAACAGCAATTAGGCAGGACTGAAAATGGCTCTCAGATCCAGCTTCAAGAGCGAAGGCCAAGCCAGGCTGGAAATTTAAGGCAGAAAGTGGCACAACTTTTTTGCTTACCCACTGCAGAGGTCATTGTGTAACAGAGTGGTGAGATGGTGTGTTAAAGTGACCTCATTTCAGCAGACTTTTGCAGGACCCACTTGTCCCTTAAAACCAGAAGTGCCTTAGACTTGAGCAATGAAGGTTTATACCACATTGTAGTTTTTAAGGTTTGCAGGGAGAATCAGGTATCAGTGTAACCCTTCTGCCAGGTAGTGTAGGCAGCAACAAGTTCCTCTTTATACAGAACTGGCTCGACACACACACACAACTCCAGTAATCTAGGAAAACTAACCACCACCCTGGGTGCCTCCAAGAGGTAATACTGCCTCACTTGCAAATACCGAGTCTGTGTATAACACAAGAAAACAGCATTAATTTGGAAAAACCCTGCAACAATGATTTGAAAGTACACCACCAAGAAGTAAAACGCCCACCTCATAGTATCTTGGGCAGTGTCCTTGTTGTCTGATTCTCACTTTGTGCTGTTGAAGTCCAAGGGATGAAGGTCTCTACCATGCCACTCCCCTTTTTCCTCCTTTGGAAATCCACTCGTGCTGTCTGAGGTCAGCAATGGCCCCAGATTCCAGGGACGTGTCTGGGGGGGGGTTACCTCTTGCTCCTGAGGGATGGGGGTGGTGGCCTGCCAGTACCTCTGCTACTATTTATCACTGCCACGGCTCCCCAGCATCACAGAGACGCAGCAGTAATGGTGGCAGTGGTGTTCTCAGGTTCATCCAGTTCTCGGTGATCTCAGCTCTTCAGTGATTTCACAGGATAGCCGGGAACCTCTGCTGCCACCTCTCCTGCATGGTCTTTTCACCACAGCACTGTCTCTGTGCCAGGGCTAAGGTTAGTGCCCGTAGGTCAGCATATCACTGAGAAGGAGCCAGGCCTCTCCAATGCATCTAGTCAGCTGTCTTAAAACAGTGACGGGGAGGATGAAATGGCTTCTGGCACCCTTTAAGCCTGGTTGTGTGGACCTGTTTAAATACCCCGCCCCCTCCGGACTCTCACATTTGGCATCACTACTCCGGACAGTGAGTGAGGTTAAAGTTAGGGCGACACCCCGCCCCCCCCGCTCCCCCATAAGGGTCACTAAGGATAGTCCTGCTGCCTTTAATACTGAATGCCATGGTAATGAAACGTTATCCTTAATGTCTGAGTAGCGTGAATTTTAACCCAAACCAGCCAAAATCGATCACTCCAGCAAGGCAGGTCTGTCTGCTGATCCCCTTGGCAGAATAGGTGTGACTCTGCAAAGAGGCAGCTCTGAGGTCTTTCCCCCCAGTTCACCACTAGCTGTCAGGGGAGAGCTTATTCAGCCCCTGCTTACACATTAGTGAAAATGAAAGAGGGCCAAGCAGGGAGTGTGTAAGTGTCCACACACAGCTCTAAACCCTTTCAGCCACAGCTTCTCATGAGCAGGAGGGGCCTGTGGCCACTTTGATTCCTCTGCTCCCAGGCAGCTCCACTCCTTCCTTTCCAGACTTCTTTATGATCATCATCTTCTTTACCCAATTCTCAGTGCACCTGACAACATTCATTTACACACATCAACATTAAACAATTCTGGGAGTAAGATTTCATGGCCCAATGTCAGACATTTTACTAAACGGATATGTTTGACTGAAAACACAGACTATGTTGTATAATAAGCTTAAGGTAAATTTCAGGAAAGCCACAATCATGATGTATTACGTCTAAAGAGCAAGTTGAGGCCCAATGTTAAAACTATACATGATAAATATTTGTTAAAGGTCATACTTAAAATGGCTTTAGGAAATATGACTTTTTATTATGGATGCAGCTTTTCCCGTACTTGAATACACACGACTCACCATAGGTTGGTGTGGTAGGACTGCTACAGATTTAATATTTGGAACTTTAAAAAAAAAAAAATACAGAATGTTTCCAAAATAATAAAATGTAATTTAAAACCTTTTAATGCATATTTTTGTCCTGAGAAACAAACATACTTTATGTAGGAAAAAAAATCAGCAACCTTTTCAATCCTTGAAAACGTGGAGACGACCACTGGAGTTACCACCCACTAAGATATTCTTTGTAGGGTGCACGGCATTGATGGAACAAACAGAGCCAAGGTAATCTACGTTATAAAAAGAGTGCAACTGTTCACCAGTGTCCTGGAAGATTTCTATTTGCCTTGGGCGTGCCATACTGCCAACCACAAAACAGTCTTCCTGTTTAGGGTCCCATATTGCTCTGAACCTAGTTAACCACCGTCCTGTGTTATTGTTATGTCTATTCAGAAAAATGAAAGAGAAAACATGAAAATCAAACACTGAATTTAGTAAGTTGCATATTTAAATACTGCCATTTCAAGCGCTCTTGTGTAGAGCATCCATTAGCCACACATCTATCCTCACCTTCTAGCCATCATCACATTCAACTTGTTTGGGGATGGTACTTTTCAGAACCATTCAACACTACTCCTCAACAGATCAGAGGAGAAGTGTACATTAATGATAAGATCCACTCCTTTCCTCTCACCAGGCCTTCTAGAGGAAGGGATTGTAAGAGGACAAAAAGGAGGACTAAAGGCAACAAAAATGTAGCAAGAGATCCTCTGACATAATAAGCAACTATTTGTAAAAGGTACTCAAGCTCTGGGATTGTCTTTGGATACAAATCCAGGGGAAAACCATTAAACCCTTTTAAAAAAAGGCAAAATTTTAAATGTTCAGGCCAGCCATACCTAATACCAGGCCCTCAGTGACCCCCGAGGTGGCAACGACTGATTTGATGGAGGGAGTCCAGCCTTTCTTGTTCACAGAAAGGATTTGCCAGCTTTAGGCCTGGGCAAAGCGGGAATGAAGAAAAGGGAATAAGGAAAAGAAAGATCTCTCCACTTATAAGCAGTGCCCTTTACTATCAAAATGTGTTGCTTTGAGGATCTTGTTCAATTGCAAAATATTTTTAGAATTACAAAATTTATAAAAGAAACACCAATTGAGACCACCCCCTGAAACATGAGAAAACTTCTCCAAAGTACAGGGACATGCCAGGCTTTAATACTTTAGTTACACAAAAAGATATTAAAAGCCTCCTCACAAATCTAGTGGACTCAACTTTGGGCTGTATCCAAGCTGTGCCTGGAGCAGGGTGGCTGGGCAACCAAAGCTGGCTATACACAACCCTGATCCTGGGTTTAGCGGAGGACTCCATCTAATAAAGTACAGCGACAGGGCTGCTCTCTCTTACGCAGCTGCCTAGGACACTAATAGCTGTTCTAGCAGCTGGAGAATCACCAGGTTTAGGCAAGCCCCAGCCATGCCCCCTGTTCACAGTATAAGCCACTATGACAGCTCTCTGCTACCTGGCAGCTCACTCCACCAAGTGGGTATGCTAGCTTTACAGCAACTCAAAGCAGCCACAATCCTTATGCCAGATCCTTAGCACTGGTATATGTAACTTACCTGACAGCAGTGAGAACAGGAATCGTAGAGGATAAAGAGCTGGTATCATAGACTCTGTGAAGTAAAGCAAATCATAAAAAAAATTATATATATATATATATATATATATACACACACACACACACACACACACACACACACACACACACAAATAAAAACAAGACTTACCTGTAAACTGCCTATGTATATAGTCAGGAATCAGACAATACATGTTTTGGAACACACTAATAGGTTCTGCACTTGTGAAATCCAATTCAGGGACAGGTGTTAAAGTCCTGATTCCATTAACAGATATGCCTTCTAAAGCAAGCGTTTGTCTTTTTGAACAGAATTACTTTAGTCTGTTCCCTTAGAACATCAGAGCGCAGCAGGGGCTGCAGAGGGCAATTTAAACGGGGAGAGGGGGAGGCAGAGATTTGCTCCTCCACCTGATCTTCCTCTTCCCCTCTCAGGGGCCCACCACACCAGCAACCCAACGCCCTGGCCCATAAGCCCCTACACCCACACCCCCCAAATCCGAGGGAGTGGCATTGGGACCTGGCATGTGGGGTCAGAGCACCACTCAAGTTTATCCCAGCCAACAACAACAACAAAAAGTTCACTGTAACTTGAAGTCTTTAAATCATGATTAGAGGACTCCAGTAACTCAGCCAGCGGCTAGGGGTCCGTTACAGGAGTGGATGGGTGAGGTTCTGTGGTCTCCAATGTGCAGGAGGTCACAGGCAAGGGATTCGTAACCTTTTTCTTTCTGAGCCCCCACCTCCAATATGCTATAAAAACTTCACGGCCAACCCAGGCCACAACAACTGTTTTGCTGCATATCCAGTAGATTAAAGGTCAGGACCACCATTAGGGGTGGGTAGCAAGCAGGGCAACTGCCTGGGGCCTCACACCACAGGAGGCCCCGCAAAGCTAAGTTGTTCAGGCTTCGGCTTCACAGCCTGTTGGCGGGGTCGGGACCCCGGGCTTCTGCCCCACACGGCGGGGCTTCAACTTTCCGCCCTGGGCTCCAGCAAGTCTAATGCCAACCCTGCTTGGCAGACCCCCTGAAACCTGCTCACGGCCCCCCAGGGGGTCCCAGACCCCTGGTTGAGAACTGCTAGACTAGATGATCATGATGGTCCCTTCTAACCTTAGTTTATGAAAGCGCTGGTGCCCATTCCTGGCTCCAAAGCCTATGGAGTAGAGGGTTACCCGAAGTGTAAAGCTCCCACAGACCCCCAGTACTAATATGCTCTTTTGAAAATATATCTGGAATATCTGAACTTCTATGTTTGTCTTGTTCAAACTGCAAAGATTTATGGAGTCTTTACTACTGGGTTGGTTCCATATCACACCCTACTTTTTAAGGCTAGGTCTTTAAATATCTGTTGTGCTTATGGAGCTGTAAAGATGTATTGCAAGTAATATACAAAGAACTCGTGTAGCTGCATTTCCTCCGGTCTACACAGAATTAGTATCCAACATATACATGTAATTTATGAATTAATAGCAACCATCCATTTTGAAAGATGATGATGTAAGCACCAACACAGTTCAGTTACTGTCTGTTGTGCTGCAGCATCGCAAGTGTCTAAAAAGTCCAATTCTTGAGCAACAGTCTTTGCCGTGAATAATACAGGAGTAAAGTGCAAGGCCAGAAGATGAAGCCAGTGCACTATTACAACTAGAGGCCTGCTGTGCTTTTCTCTTTGCTCTCTTCACTGTCTTCTCATCTACCTCTCTCTGACATGTCAGTTATAGTGGTATGATTATTGCATACATTCGTGAAAGAATATGATTTTGTTTTTAAACACCCACTGTTTTGTATAGGACCTGATTTTTCAGCCTGGCCTTAACGAGGCCTCCCATTTTGTGTCTACTATTCTGTGATGTAATTTAGGTTACTTAAACATTTAAGTACCCAATTTGTGATGTAATCAGATACTTAGATGTCCAGATTATTTAAATAATGATCACAAAAATGACAGCATGAAAAGTGAGACTTTTTTAAAAATACAGTCCACGCTATGAATTCAGTCCTAATTATGTCATATGCTTTATCCACCTCTAGGCAACATATAAAAACACCAGCTCTTTTGTAAGACTTTCAGCAGCAACACTGAAGAAATTCAGGATCTCAGCACTTTTAACTGCTATACATGGACTCATTAACCAGTTTTTTTTTTTTTTTTTTTTAAGTTAGCCCTATCTCTGTGTCTATTTATGGTCACAGTTGTAGGTTATAAAGAGAAATGAGGGCAAAAATGTAAGCAAAGAAATCATTTGTTATAAAAAAATTACAAGAAATTCTACTTAAAAATGTCAAGAAAAAGCTATCAAGAACCAATATTAGGCAGTGAATTGTACTTCTGTATTATCTTCCTTCCCACACCCTTACCTCAACGTATCATCAGCACATGTTGTCACCACTCTGTTACCAGTAATAGGTGAGAAATAGGCAGAAGCAACACTCTTTGTGTGTCCACTGAGAAAGCTTATGGGCTTGTTTCCATTAGGCTTCAGGTATCGTGCATCAAAAATGCAAACATTCCTGCAAGACACACACAGCATGCCAGTTTAGAATAGGTTTCATTATGGAACGGGAAGTAGTTACATAACTCCTATAAAGTGAAGTAGTTGCATAAACTTTAAAATTTAAATTTTCAGTTTCTACTTACATGGAAGTGGAGGAACAGAGTGCACTAGCTGCACCTTAAAAAACCTAAATACAATAATTGCCTTTTAATAGCTAGAATTTATAGTACATCCTGCCCTAAACCACTCACAAGGCAAACAGTAATTACAAATGTCAATTCCTTCATAAGCCATTACCAAAAGCCTTTATTTTCCCCAAGGATCACCAAAAAAATGATGCTACTCGTTTTTGAAGTGGCACCATCCGTGAAAATGGCAACCGCAGGTGTGCTAGTACTTTTAATCCTCTTTTCCCAAAAACAAAATGTCCCATCGAGTCCTTTTCTTACTCCCAACACCAAAATATTAGGGAAAGCCAAATTATATCAGTTTTTACGTTTCTTTGTAGAACGTTTTCCAAAGTGATCAGAAAAACCTTGAATATACATATTTAGGTTAAAAAACTAAATTCTGTATTATAAATATCAGTAGATGATCGCTCTCCCCAACCCGATGCCATTTACAGCTGATTTCCAATGCCTTCCTGTGAAACCGTTGCACAGAGCTCTTAAAGCACACAAATCACTAATGCATTTTGAAGTACATACACTGCACCAGCAGCAATGAAATACTGTCTGTTCACTGGATGAACATGGACAGTTCTTGTTGTCTTTGAATTCATGTTTGCAGTAAGTTCAGAAGAAGTTCCTGGTGTCCGTCTGTCCACAATAGCCACGTCACCATCCCACTGTCCTACCACCAACGTGGAGGCATTGTCTGCCAAGAAGTCAAAGGAAGAAAAGCTGTTTTCTTCACTTCTGTACACCTAAGTATGGAACAGGAGTTTATGTAAGGCGATATATCATTGGTTAAAAATAAAATCAAACTAATCGACTATTTCCATATTGATACTTCCCAGCTATTGAAGTATACAATAGAATGTAATCTGCTTTAACTATAGCTACGTCCTTTCACACTGAATTATACTAGTAACATCAGTTAAAACAGCAGCAGTGATCCATTTAAGTAGCTTTTTCATGAGACCACATGGAATACAGGAAGTATCTCTATATAGGGTATTTTGAACAATAAACTGAACACAATGCAAAGTATGGCAAATACAATGTACTTCAAATCCTATATTTATAACTCCCACATAAGGTCTTGTCATCCCACTATTTCCACAAGCAAAGGAAAGACTCACTAAGCAAATCTCAGTTGGGTACTGAAGTGGGTAGTACTGGCTCTGTCCCCACCCCAATCCCAGGGAAGCCCCTCGTCAGGTGCACCAAGAAGGATCAGGCTCCATGGAATTTGAGGAACAAACTCGGAATGAGGAGAAGCCTTTGTCCATGCCAGTCTCCCATCATAGTGGCAATTATCCACAGTTGAGGTAATGGTACTTTAAGCAACATTAATTTAAGACTTCATTACTGTGCCCTCCAGGGGAACCTGGCCACTAGCAGCACTCCTCTTGTAGAAGCCATGCGACCATGAGAAGCCAGGACCAGGCAAACAGGGGTTCTCAAACTGGGGGTCGTGACCCCTCAGGGGGTCGCAAGGTCATTACATGGGGGGTCGCGAGCTGTCAACCTCCACCCCAAACCCCGCTTGCCTCCAGCATTTATAATGGTGTTAAATATATTAAACAGTGTATTGAATTTATTAGGGGAGTTGCACTCAGAGGCTTGCAATGTGAAAGGGGTCGCTAGTAAAAAAGTTTGAGACCCACTGGGATAGAAGAATTGCAAATCTCTTCCCAAGATCCACAAAGATAGGATGTATGTGTCACTTGGCCCCTTTGTGGTGCTCCAAGCAGCTGTCTGGGGAAAAGGGTGAGAACAATTAAGCTAACGGGTTTTACATTGCATCATGATTGATATTTTTAGAGCTCCTTTAAAGAAAAACTGTTAATTTGCTGCTTTAAAATATACTCTCTAAAAAATAAAAAAAATTGAAGAGATTTACTGGGTTAAATAAAGAGTCACATGGATGCAGATGAAACTCATTTTAACATGAAACAGATTTCCTTACTGAGAATAAGTTAAAGAGGGTGTCCATGACATGTTATGAGGATGTTCTCTTAAAACACTGCAGTCAAATAAAAAACAAGGCAAATTTTCCAGATACTTGATTGGCTATGCCGTTTCCAATTTTTTTTTTTTTT